ATTATAACTTAAAATTTAAATTTCTATTAAAAAAAAAAAACTATTATAACTATTATAAAATATACTATTATACTATTATAAAATTTTAATTTCTATTAAAATTCTATCATAATTTGAAATTTTTAATTAAATTTCTATTAAAAATCTATCATAATTTCAATGTATAATAAAAATTCGTTACAATTAAATTTTATATAAAATATATAATCAATTTCATCCCTATTTAAAATTAATTCTAATTTAAATTTCTATTGAAAATGTAATAAGACTAAATTCTCTATTAAAAATCTATTGTAATTCAAAAATTTCATTAGAATTAAATATCGTATTAAAGACTGTTGCAAAACGAAGAACGTGAAACCTATCGATTTTAACCGGCTCTCTAGATTTACTGTTTCTTACTACGGTTTCTTACTGTACAATTATACAAATTATATACACTTCCATGGGAAATCATTGAATAAATTATATAATTGAATACTAAACCTGTAGAAAATCTAAATAAATTGAATCTTCTCATTTTTAAGAGGCAATGCACATCAAGTTACGTTTTACTGCTCGGCACAATTTAGCTCGGCAAATTTTAAGTTAGAATTCGTTAGTGAACAAGTGAAATTTATCGAATAGTGTTACGAATTTGTTTCTTTAAAAAGGTATAGAGATATATTTTCGATAAAATAGTAAGATAATCGATCAATAACACATCCAATTTTGGCGATTTACCCTAAATGGATCACAGATTTATTTGATTCGAATAAGCATTTGGAATATTATTTTTATCATACTATTTTTTTATCCACGTGGAATATTATTTTTTCGAGATACAACATGCTGATCAACCGTAAGAAAAATATAAAGAAAAAAACGTATTCGCTTCGACCCAACCATTGCACAGTGTGATGAATCGATAATAGAATAATCAGATCGTGTAAAATATGAGGATATTATTTGGAAGAGTTAATAATAGGTTGAAAAACTTACAATTAACAATAGGATCAAGAAACCTTGCATACTATAACGATTATAAGAAAACGTATAATTTTTTCATATTATTTAATTGGTATCATATGTGTGAGAAGTATGTGTGAGCGTTTCCATTAATAATCATCATTATCAATTGACATATGATTGAAAAATTATAAACAAAGGAGAGTTGAACTATTAATATATTTTGTCGTTTTGTGTCACTTGAATATGTGAAACGTGAATACGAAATCTCAACAAAATATAACATTAATATTAACGATTAATCGCTTAATAATCACTCTTTGCTTGATCATTGTATCGCAACTTGCGATTAATAATACATTGCGTATTCAAATATCGAACCACAAATAATTTATGGAAATTTGTATCGTATTATTTATTATTACTAATCTGAGTAATACCAACGATTGAAGATGTTATTTAACGCGATATTTTTATACATTTTTACTAGAACCATCGGAGAAGTTAAAAATAGACAAAACAGGAGAAAATGTCTAATAAATGTCACATTGTTTTTTAATTATTGCAATGTGCAGCAATGTCTACTTTCTAGCCTCTAAAATAACAATGACAAAAAAGAATTTTATAGCTTCCCACAAGTAACATTTCGAAGTAACACTTTCAGTGAGAAAGTACAAATAAATGACAACGTTCATTCTTGCTTTTTCACCTAGTATAATTACCTTAAGTATAATTTGCTCGAACGATTTACCTCCGGAAACTAATTTACAATTTCAAACGACGTTTTTAAAAATATTTCTTATACGTATCTGGTTTCCTCGAACTCGCGGTTCTAATCGATTATTTGACTTGCTCGAATCGATCGTATCAAAACACCGATCGGTAATCACGTTACAGGTCGCGGTAATGGTCGTTGCGTTTCTCGAGCGTAGCAGAACTTGTTTGACGAACATATTACTTCGGTTCATGCGACAAGTTCAGTGCAGTAATTAATAACTCCCTGCATAGAACTGTGTGCACACAGTCGACTACAAGTAATCTGATACGCGAGATTTATTCGACTTCCCGAGCGTCGATATAATTGCTATAACAAGGTATCAAACTGCACTTCAAATTAATCTCCTTTTGTAAATTATATTCACATTTTTCTCCTCCAAACGAATCCTTCCGTAGATCGTATTCAACCTTTTGCAAATCGAATTAATTCTTTTAAAAGGTCTTTACAAATGAATGGTTTTTTTACAAATGAAATTCACCCTTTTGCAGATGAAATTAACTTAGCAATGAAGATCGATTGCTTGCAATGATATTTATTTTAGCATGAAATAATGAAAATTATTTATTTATGTACATTTCTACAAAATTAATCTTGTCGTAGAATTTAAAAATTTCTATTCAAGATGTTATTTTGAAGTTTTTAAATTAAATAATTTGAATTATTTTATGCTAAGTGCATAAATTCATATTAAATCAATAAAAGACAGCCAATTTTGAACTGTGAGAGGGTTAATTTTATTTGCAAAAAGTGAATATCTATAAAGGTGAATGGATTAATTTGAAGTCCAACGGTGAATATGAGCTACGAAAAGATTCATTTCGAGTGCAAAACCTACATTAGCGAAACAATAAACGGTAGAAATTAATGTCAGACGTCGAACTAATTATAACATTAACTATATCTTGTCCAGATCGATAATTAATGATTACATTCTATTGAAAGCTTGCATTAAAAAGTTCTATGCAAGTGCTGAGAAAAACGTACGGACAACTAAACATTCGATGAATTCAATTTATGCAAAATGTTCAGTTATGATAGTAAAAGCGATATTTTTCTACTTAAAAGCGTGCGTAAATGGTCAGAATTGGCGTTGCTTGCGATGCACTAAATTCGCAAAAACAAAATAACAATGAAGACAAATTGTAATTATTCGATTGCGAATTTTTATGCGTAACAAAAATACTCTACACTAATTACAAGATACAGGAGCTACAGAGACATTTGTTGTATGGTTACTTCTATTAAGTTGATATTAATTGAATGATCGAATGGTGTGAATGAAGTGAGAAACGATTGAAATTGTTGAATGTAAAATTGCGTGCAAAATTAGCGTAGTAACTTATGTTTACATTTCGATACTATATTTAATAAATTGATCAAATGTTATTACTAACACTTATTTTAATCATTGTAATAAAGCGACAATAGCGCAACAGTACATATTTTTAAGGTCTTCAAATGTGTTTACCGCTTCGTGTTCGATCAACTCATTTTTTGTCGTAAATACATAAAATTCATAGCCTAGTAATTACGCATCAAATGCATAATTATTTATATACGATGACGAAATGGGAAAATTAAATTTCTTAAACTAGCATAGCGTCTATACAAAGCACGTCGGTCACTTTTTTCCAGTGAATTAGACTTTACGTAAGAGACGGCAGCCATATTGAAACCAGCGGACGTAAATGCTTTTCGCGGTTTCTTTTTCATCACAGCATTTACATAATTCAATATTTATCACACTTTTTACTACGTGTTTTCGATAGACACATAGTATACGTTTATCCTAAATAGAAAAATGGCCGACAAAGTGAAATCGATGGACTGCGAAATAAATAAAATATTATTATCATTATTATTATTCACGTAAAAGCTGCATAGAATGGAAATGTGCTGATTAGTAAAAGTCCACTGACAGAATTCGTGAAAGGGATTCGGGATCAAGAGAGATTTATTGAAAATGACTAAAAATATTTGTTGGCAAGTTGATGCATTATACACTAAATAAGGTATTATCGTTATTATTATAGCATAAGAGATCGAAGGAGGGAATGAATTATGATTTTACTACCACGTGTTTGGACGGTGGTACACATTTTTAATAACAAAAATTCGCGATACTGACAGTCGTTTTCTCAAATTATTTAATTGATCTGTGTTATATTGTGGTATACAATTAATTTTGTGTCTGCATTGTTATTATTAATTATATTTTTGTTTATTTCCGATCTCCTATTACTATTATTCAACTGATAAAAGTCCGTGAA